TTTTGTTGTTGAATAGCTAAATTTAAACGATTTCGATCAATATTAATCATTCGATATTTTAATTGTTCATTGATTTTTTGTTTTGTTTTAAATAAATTTGGTAATGGACATGCTGAATCAACTGAATAAATAAATAATTGATGTTGTTGTTGTTGTTGTTGTTCTTCATTATTAATCGTTGTTATCATTGATCGAGCCATAAAACGAGCTAAAGTACGTAAAACAGAACGTAAAGCATTACCAGGCATACCAAAATAAGTTCGAGTATCAATATATTGAAATAAATTTGCACTAAATAAATCAATTGGAAGACATGATGATAAAAGTGATGTTTCACGTCGTAAAGCAACATTAAGTATGCATACAGCATCACGAATATTATATTGTTCAATTAATGCATAAAGTACACGATGAAGTACAAGAGCCTTACGGGCTTCTGTTGATGGTTTTCCACGACGATATGAACGTGCTGAATTTGGCATATCAATTGAATGACGTGATCGACGACGTTGTTTTCGACGTTCATTTAATGTTGAATAACCTTTTGTATTTAATGGATGATCAGTAGATGTTATTGCTGGTGGAAAAAGATCATTTAAATCAATTTGATGACCGTATTGTAATAGACGAATAGCATTTAATGATGGATATGAATGTAATATTGATTGAATAAAAAGACGCATTGTTGTTAAATATTTTGGTAAGTTTTTTATATTAAGATAAAATCTTTTTTCTATTGATAACCATAATTTATACCATGAAGGAAGAAGAGTAAAACGATTATAATGTGAATCATTTGCCTTGAATAAAATAAAGAAATATTAATATACGTAAGAAAATATTAATAGTATTAGCATAGTCTACAGCTAGGACATATATTAGATGAATCGTTCGTTCTAGACAAACATATGGAATGAACTGAAGACAATGGCTAAATTTTTTATATTTAATACTAATTATTTTTATTATGCGTTCTTCTCAATGTTCGCTATTTATAATAATAATGTTTTTTAGTTTGGGATCAATTCGTGAAAAAGTCGATCTATTGATAACTAAATTCTAATGCTATTCAAATGATTCGCATTGAAAAACTGTCAGATTTTATTGCTTTTTATTTTGAAGATATTTAAGACAGATTCGTTCAAACTTAAAAGATTTTATGAATTGAAAAATTATATGAAACTTCTGCAATGACTTTTTCTTTTATCTAATATGCATTTAAGATTGAAATATTTCTTATAACGTATAACAAAGGATTTTTATCTAACGATAGTAGTCGTTCAATTGATAAATTGCTTTTGAGTCGAGCCTATGTGAATTATGTACGATCTAAATGAGCTATGAATATCCCAACAAGTGTTCGTGTCATTAGCTTATTGCTGCAGAGATAAGAATGCGTCAAATTCCTAGAAAATGGTGTCAAAAATGATATTTTCTTCCGGTGGATTGTTTATATTAGCAAGGATCAGTTTTTCTTGTTCTATCTGAAGCTATAGTCGAAATTTACGAAACACAAAAATAAATGTTTTGGACTTGGTAAAAAATTCGTAATTTGTAGGTTTTTTCGACCGAATAAATTCAGAATGTGCATTCAAAACTGATCACAATTGATACGTAGAATCGTCAGAAGTATGCTAATTGTCAATATTGGACATGTTTTTTTTTTGTAAGCAAATATAAGCCAATGCTTTGAATTTCTAATCGGAGACTCCCATATGACCACTTGTGATCGGTTTCGAATGCGCTTTCTGAAGCTATTCGTAGGTTTTATATAATGCAAAATACGAATCTCAAAATCAGTTGGAATTGGTAGAAGAAAAAACTAAAAATTGCGAATTTTTGACCAATTCTGAAACATTTGTTTTGTATTCTAAGAACTTCGACTACAGCTTCAGATGGAACAAGAAAAACTGATCCTTGCTGATATAAACAATCCGCAGAGAAAAAATTTCATCTTTGACATCATCTTCTAAGAATTGATGCATTCTTATCTCTACAGCAATAAGCTAAGGACACGAACTATTGCCAAAATATTCATACCTCATTTGGATCTATATAATGCACATAGTTTCGATTCAAAAGCGATTTATCAGTTGGAGAATTTCCCTTGTAAAAAAAAAGTCTTTACCTGAAAATTATGTTGTCGATCAGATAATGAGGTTGGTAAAAAATCATCTAAATTAATATTTGTTCCTTGTAATAATTGTAATTGTTGAATCCCTTTACAAATTCGAAAATTCATTTCGTCTTGTTCTTGTTCTTGTTCTTGTTCCTCTTCTCCTTCATTATATTGAATCACTTTTTGTCTTCGGTATAATTCAAATGTATTTAATTTAGTTGGTATATATAAAACAGCTTGTAACCATTGTTCAATAATATATAAAATACATAATTGTAATAATTCGGGATCATTTACAACAGTTGTTTGTTGTTTAAATACATCAATAAATAATGGTATAAATCTTGTTAAACATGAAATACGTAAACATGTTAATGATCCAAATGTAGATGATAGAGCAAGATTTGTTAAACAATGTGATAATTGAATTGATGTAAGAACGTCTTCATTATTTGGTGATAGAAGTATTGTTCGTGTTGTTCGTTCAAGACATGAACAAATTTCATGTTGAACACGTTCGGATGATGTTAAAAGAAGTTGATAAGCAGAAAATATATCATCTAATGGAAGTTCAGGTAAATCATCAATTGTTAATGATGTTGAACTTCCATATTTTTTTGAAATATTTACTTCACCACCACCGCCAATACTTTCTGTATCAATACGATCAACAGCTTTTGGAAACTCATCAAATGATCTAAATATGGCTTTTTTTAGTTAATAAAAATAACAAAAAGGACGAAGACGAATAAAATTACAAATTTACTCATTACCTAGATTATTAAAATTTATATATGATTCGATGTAGAATTCTACACTGAACCGTTTGATAGTAGTTTTAGATCGATTCAATTATGTCTAACGTAATAAAGGCTAGAAATACTAACCTTATCGTCGAAAAATTCAGCAGGAGTTCCTCTCAGAGTCCAGTCAAAAAATGAATTTTACTAAACTGTTTACTTTACTGTTAAGTCATCTATTACTTTAGGTTCTAATAACATGCCTTAAGGTTTGACTTCAATCTCTACTGTGTAAACAACATTCTAGTGGAGTTCATTTTTTCATTGGACCCTGTAGGGAACCTCAACTGAATTTTTGCAACAAAAAAAACATCCATAAAAACATTTACAATAGAAATAAACCAACTCAGCCTTTCTGCTGATTTCAAATTTGTTATTAGTTTGGGCTCAAATAGTTACTTTTTGGCTAAAAATCTACTAAATGCCAGAAAGGCACACAGTTATGTTTAATGAATAATGTGCTGAAGATTTTTCAGGCGATCAGTATCCGTTGAGTTAGAAATGTGCTCTAGAGTGATATATAAACAGCTACTTCAACAGAACCTTATAGATGTCCATTATTCGAGAAGTCAATCAACAGTATTGAGTGTTCAGATAACAGACCATTGATCGTCAATGAAGTGATAAATAAAAGACACTGAGAAGTTGTTCTAGTAGAATTTTTCTTATGGCGATTGCTGCAGAATTGAATGTTCTATCTAGTGAGACCAATCTGGAATGAAAGCAATATTGCTGTAAGAAAGTTATCTCACAATATCAATGATAATGTCGGCAATGAGGAACTAAGTTTAATATTTCTGAGCTTGATTACCCTAGACATTATTGAATTGATTTAAAATTACTATCAAATGGCTCAGTGTAAAATTCTGCATCAAATCATAAATAAATTTGAATAATCTAAGTAATGGACAGTTTTATGATCTTATGCATTTCCGTCTTTTACCTTGTTTTATGTATAAAAACTGAATGTTCTTGTTGTTTTTTATTTAAATCCATTAAATATAAACTAAGTAATGGATCATAAAATCTTCTATCACGAATTTGATTTGAATAAGTTAAACGTGCTAAACGATAACCATCACTACAATAAATTAATGATTTATTTGCATTTACAGTTAATGAAAATCTTTGTTGTTTTGTTTTATCATCATCTGAAAATGATACAATTGATTTCATAAATGAATCTAAACCTAAATGTGTTGTTGCTTCACTATCTTTTCCAATTAATGGATGAATAATAACAAATAATGATGGACCTTGTGTAATACATTCACCTTGTGTTATTAAATTTAATTGTGAACCAAAACGATTAAGAAAAAATAAAGCACCACGATTTGTTAAACCAATTATAAATTGATCATCATAACTCCATTTTAAATCATTTATAAATACTTGTTGATGACTTGGTGATAATGTTTTAAATGAACAATTAATAGGTATGATTTTTGAAAAAACCATTGTTGTTAATGAAACTAATAAAATATTTGTTGATAAACCAATAGCTAATATAGGTGATGAATGAGCAAAACATGTAAAACATAATGATGATGATAATGATGATAATATTATTGGTATTTGAAGAATTTCAAATGAATATGATAATAATTGTTCAGAATAAATTGTTGATTTCCAATTAATATCAATACGATTTATTTGAATAAAACCTGATTGATCAAAACAAACAAATGCACAAATAATTGAAGAATTTTTTGAACGAAAAAAACAATTAATTGATATTTGATGTTCATCATCATTCATTATATCGAATTGTTGATTAATTAAATTTAATTCATACCAAGTACCTATTTCATTTGTTGGATGATTCGATATATTTGAACATATTGGAGATTTATGATGAGATTTAGAAGATATTAATTGAGAATAAGATGATTTAAACCATAGAAATAATCGATATGGTTGTTGTAAAATAAGAATAGCTTGTTCACCATTATTACTTATATAAATTTTTGGTGTAGTTTTAATTGCTTTTATAGCTAATGAATATGATGGTATTGTTCGAATTAATTTATCTTTATCCCAAATTATTATTTCATAATTTGAAGAAAGAAATGCACATAATTGACCATTATTTGATAAACAATGAGTAAGAGATGTTTTTGAAATATTTATTATTGTTTTATTTGATATATGTTCAATTTTACCATTAGATGAATTAACTGATTCAAATTTTTTATGTTCATTATAACATAACAGTTCATTATCATTAAGAAAATAAAAATGTGACCAAGGTTTATCACGTTTTAGAATGACATTTTTTTCAATAGTTAATTCAACTTTCATTTTCTTTTTTTTTTTTATCTAAAATATGAAAAAAAATCATTTTTAGAAGATATCCTTGGAGATAATCTTTCTCTGTAATGTACAAAAATAAGATCAAGATCGAAGAATAAATTCAAAACTGATTGAAAGTTTTGCATTTGTATTAGTATTAGCCTAACCCTCAGATCACAATTCATATGACCTCGAGTATGTCTATTTATCTATTTCATTAAAGACAAAACCGATTTATTCAGAAGTAACATTGTTACTATGATTACTCACCGTAAGTTTTCCGATTGTGTAGAAAAACCGGTAATAGTTGACAATGAAATGAATCAGATTCTTATATACTATTCCTGATGACAAATCGTTTATTCATGCAAAGAATCATACAGATTTTTATCTATATCGATTGGTTCCATTGATACCATGACTATTTATGTTACCATAGTTCAAACAAGTAGTTGAATCATGTTAAACACGTTCAATCAATAGATGTCGCAAAGTATCATCAAGGAAATAATTTTTTGTAGTATTAAGTAACTTCAAGCATAGGGTCAAGATATTCACAACTTTGAAAAAATATTGTGTTTCCCAAGTACCGTAATGGTACTTTATGAAGTAAAAAAAAAGGGCATTTTACTGATTTGTTGCAGCATTATTGAAAAGTTGCTCGTATTCCTCTCGTTTTTAGATTTCTAATATTGTTCCTTATACATAGTTTCTTCATGAGTCCTCTTCGAATGTATTAATATGTACAAACAAGAGCAATAATAATAAGTAGTTTCATTTTATCTTTTGTTTTGTTATTTCTAATATACATACGATAGTAAAAATTAATTCAGAGAAGTATTTGTTAAAATCTAGTCAAATGAATATGTATATACATTTTTCTCATCATCTACATGTTATTTTTCATAATAAAATGCAAATAATAATAAATTTGGCTTTGTTTTTATTGATTAGTTGTTTAGATACTAGGACAATTCGTTGCATGACATACTAGTTTAAAAGTATCCTGAAGAAATATTGAAAATGAGTAAGTATTGAGGCGTAGGTTTGGGTATGAATGGCAGTCCAGGGGAAAAAGCAAGACTTCGGAGTACTGAAGTCTCGCTTTTTCCACTTTCGTGAGAATATACAAAAGATCCTTACCCATATCCCCTAGTCGTCGTTCTTTCCTATGGTACTTTGTTTTAAATTTCTATTGAAAATCTTTGATCACTGATCTCAGTATGTGTTTTTGCACGTTTTCATTTTCTTTTTGCTCTTGATGATACTCGCCTTGCCTTTTTTTTTCTTTTAATTAAATAAATCTTATAGCACATAGAATGTATTATATACGATAAAAAAAGATACTAAAGCTAAATTATATGTTTTCTTTCCCAATTCATTACACACACACATACAACCATTTGGTTTTGTTTTTTTTTGTTCATCATTCTAATAATAAGCAAAAAATGAGAAAAAAAATGATAAGTCTTGAGTAAAATAGTATACAGAATAAGCAAAAAGAGCGAACTCAATTAACCACAAACAAAAAAATGCACACACACACACACTTTATATATATGGAGACTGTGTTTCATTGAACTAATATTTGAATCTATGATCATGATGGTGATGATACAGCTGATGTATGATAACTATAACTTGAATGTGGTTGTTGATTAAATAACCAACGTGTAAAATCATCATAGTCATATGCATTATTTATTTCACGACCATTTCGATCTCGATATGGTTTCATTTTACGACAACAGAATTTAGCTTGTTCTGATGGTAAATTCTAAAAATAAAATATTAAAATTTTATATTTATTATTAAGAAAAGAAAATTTTCATAATACATACAGCAAATAGTTCATCACGTGTTATATATGGTCGTTCAGAATTTTCTGTTAAACTCTTGAATGCCAAAACAACATCATCAATAGATGAAACATTCTCAGTTTCTCGACTAATCATAAATGTCATATAATCTGGTAAAGATATTGTGCCACTTCTATAAAATATAATCAATTTATCAATATGAAATTTAATTTTCCAGAGTTTATTTCTCTGAATGAAGTTAATACAGGGAGTAAATATTATATTTTCTATGTAAAACTATACTGTTTCCCTTATGGATGCTTTTCAGTTTGACATTGCTTCGATCATGTTTTGATTGGATAATTTCAGAAAAACAGATTGTCATGGAAATGTCTGTATATACTTCTCCTCCAAAGGAAAAAAATATCAAATATTTTTGTTTTCTAAAATTACACTGTTTATTAGTTGTATTATATACTTCTCGATGTCTCATTCGATGTGAGATTCAAGCTCGCAAGTCTTTATGGTTTTGAACTTACACATTCTTGCTTCGAGACAATGTTACAGATGTGCAGAATTAGAAAATTTTTCTCAATCAAAACACGAGGTATAACAAAAGCTTACCCTGTATATCTCTAGACAATCCCGAATTCTTAACTATGGATTTAACTTCTCAATTTGAATAAGATAAGAAAAAAAAATATATATATATTTATCAAAGAACAAACCTGTTAGAATCAACAACATCTAGAATAGCTTCAAATTGTTCATCACGTTGATTATCATCAACAGTTGGTAAATCATATCCTAATGCTCGTAAACAAGATTTAAAATCTTGATGATTAAGTCGACCAAGTTTTTCTTTATCAAAATGTTTAAACATCATAGAAAATTCTCGTACTTGATCTTCACTAACACCACTATGTTTCATAGCAGCTAATTGTTGTTCTAAATTATGTTGCATACGCATTCCTAATTGATCTAATTGATCATATGCTTGTGCAAGATTAAGTGCTGAATATTCTGTATAACGATTATCAAGTATTAATCGACGTTCAAGTTCTGTTGCAAGATCTTCAAGTTTTTTTAATTTTTGTCGTTGTTGTCGAAGTTCATCAACTTTTTGCTACAAAACAAAAAAGAAAAGAAAAGAAATAAAATAAAATTATCAAAGAGAAATTTTCTTACTTTAATTGTTTGAAGTTGTTGTTCAAGATTACCATCAGCATTCATCATAGATGACCTAGAATAGAGAGAAAAAAAAATAATAATAATAACAAAGAATGATTATTCAAAAAAAAAAAAATAATAAACGAATATATCAAACATACTCAATGCCACGTAACCATGTATGAAAAGCATTAGCATATTCAGCAAAATGTTGTCGTAATTTATCATTTTCTTCTTGACGTTTCTTTTCTAATTGAAGATCATTATCACGATCCTAAAGACAAAAAAAAAAAAAGTAATTTATAAAAATAAACTTAAATTTATATATATACTCGAATTAATTTTTCTAAACTTTTCCATGTATCAAAAAGTGTTTCCATAGTAAACCATGTATATGGATTAGCAGCCATATTTAATGATTTGATACTATCATCAGATGCTTTAAGTTCATCAAAATCATAACGTGCTTCTTCAAGAACAGTTTTAAATCGATCATGTGCATCGATAAGAGCCTTTAAAAAAAAAACTTTTTGTTTTTTTTTTTTGTTTGAAAATATGAAAACATACTCGAATTTCTTCTAATGAATTACATTTAACTGGATCTGTAAGATCTTCTTCAGCATTTTCAAACCATGAATTAAATGCTGATGCTTTTTTAGCAAAACGTAAAAATAATTCTTCAATATTACGAAAACGATCTTCTGCTTTTTTTAATTTTTCTCGTCTTAATCCACTTGTTTGTAATAATTTTTGCCAACTAAAATAAAATGTTTCTTCTTTTTTTTTTTTATTAATTATATATTTCTTTTACTTACTTATTTAAAACAAGATCATAACGTGCTTGAATTTTATCATTTTGTTCAGCTGATACATTAGCACGATTTGATATTAATTCATCTTTAAGTTCAGTTACTGAACGAATACCTTCATGTTCAAAATTACTTAATCCAGCTTCGAATGTTTCATGACGTGTAAGAAGATTTTGTACAGATAATAAATTATGACCCAAATCATCAGTACGTATTTGATGAAGTTTTTCACCTAAAAAAAGTTGATAATTGGTTTGCTCAATCGAATTCTTTCTTCTTTGTATTTCTTATTTTAGACTATTATAGTTCAGTTTTTTCTTTTTTTTTTGATAATTGGGTATATAATAATAAATCTTCTGTTACTACTTCCATGAATTTTTTGATTCACTTCATATAAATAAGTATTCTCTTTCTTATAATTCAGATGTATTTTTTGTTGTTTATGTTTAATTTTAATTGAACTGCACTGTAATTTCATAATCATAAAATGATATTTCTACAAAATGATTATTAACTATGAACAAAGTATGTCTTCTCTTGAGAGAAAAAATTGTCTCAAAAGTTATAGAAGAACACAAAAAAGATTAAAATACTTATAGAATTTCCCTAGTGTCTTTACGGCTTCGTTCTACTGACTTGTAATCATAGACGCTAATCTACGATAAAGTCTTTCTATTTGATTATAAATAATAATCAATATCTACTAGAAAACTTACCAATCCAACTTTCAACAACATCACCTTTCCACATAAATTGAAGAAGTGAAGCATTTTCTTGTAAACGTTGTTTATGTCGATTAGCATCAGTTTCTAAACGTTTTAATGCATCTTGTAAATAATTCATTCGATCATTTATTTGTGGTGATAAATGATTATCCTAATAAAAATGAATATCAAAAAGAAAAAATAAATTTCAATAATTGGTTCTTTATTTTTTCAAAATCTAACTTGTTCAATTAATTTTTGTCCTTGTTGTAAAATTTCTTGACAACGTTCTTTTTGTATAACAAAATCAGCTTCAAATGATTCATGTTTTTTTTGTAAAGCTTGTACAGAAACTAATGTTGTACCAATATCAGGATTATTGATAATATGTAAACGTTCTTTAATCCAAGCATTTTCTTCATCTAAATTTGATGCCCAATTATGATATGTTATTGATTCATCAAGTTTTTTTGTTCGATCATCTGTTGCTTGTCTTAATGAATCCCAATGATTATTTAAATCTTTAC